GGATGCAGACCAGTATGTAATGGGAATGTACTGGAAGAAGGGTTCCTATAATAAATTAGGACATTTCCACCTTAAAGATATGTGCCACTCTCCTGAGTGGAAAGGGACCACCCACATGGTCTCAAATCCGTTGAAACCACACATCCAATCTTTTAAAGACATGATGGCCATTGCAAATCCAACATTTGAAGATACCATGGCCGCTGAAACAGGTTTCAATGATGTTAATCTATGGTTAGAATGGATGAAATATAATGCCAACAAACATAACAGAACCGCATGCTATGTGTGTGGTGGTGCCCGGCCGCACCTGGGCACTGTGCCTTTAACTTTGCCAGTAGATATAGAAGAATGTGTTCTGAGTCTTTTTGCCTATCACTACAATTTCAATAGGTCCATATGTAAAGCATGGACAGTAGAGTATCCTCTTCTAGTCAAAGATTGCAAACCCCCAGATGGTGTTACCGTCTATAAAGGTAATTATACCTGTTATGCTAATTATGATGGAATTGGTAAATTTGTGGGTAACTTCTCTAAAGGTTATTGTGCCACCTACAGAACTGTCTCTATGAACCTCCTACAATTCCACACTAGATCATTGGGGGATATTTACTGGTTGTGTGGGGATCTACAGCTGAGATCAAGAATGGATAAAGAATGGTGGGGGGAGTGTACTCTGGCTAAAGCAATCATGCCCATACATATTATCTCTGACACACACCCCGATACTCATGAGTCCAAACACTCACCAACCAAGGTAAAGCGTGAAGCCCCAGTAAAAGGCAGTTTTGACCCTCATATTTACATTGATGCCATTGGGGTACCTAGGGGGGTGCTCAATGAGTTTAAAGCCAGGGATGAAGTTGCTGCAGGATTTGAATCACTTTTTACCATAGTCACTGCAAACAAGAATTTAAATTGGATAAATTACATCTACTACAACCAACAACGGTTTGTTAATTACACCAGGGATGCCCTTCAGGGTTTGGCCGAACAGCTGCAGGCTACGTCCCAAATGTCATTCCAAAATAGAATGGCTTTAGATATGATTCTAGCCGAAAAAGGAGGGGTATGTAAAATTCTGCCTGACACCATGACATGTTGTACTTACATCCCAGAAAACACAGGCCCCAATGGTAAAGTAACCTTAGCTATAGAAAAATTGAAAGAGCTCTCTGAGGAGCTAAAGAGGAACTCTGGGATAAAAGATCCCTGGGAGAGATGGTTTGGTTGCATGACAGGATGGCAAAAAGCTTTGATGCATATTGGTATAGCAATACTAATTTTCCTTTTTATCTTTGCTCTTCTCGTTTGTTGTGTCCTCCCTTGTCTGAGAAAGCTCCTCTTGAAGACTGTAGACCAAGCGGCACCCACTTTCGCACACCTCACAGTTGATGACCAAGATTTCCAAAAAGTCAACTCGCCCTGTATACCGCTACAATCTATCCCGTTTATTGATAAAGTGCTAGAGTTCTAGGAAGGGACCAGCTTATTGACAGCATCTGTCTGTCTGGGAAGTCTACCGTGCGGAGATGTGGTGGGTTAGCCACCTCGGGATACCCATGGAGTGAAGTGTTCGAGTGCCCAGCGGTCAGATGAGTTAGCTAATTAGGGGCAGACGAAGGGACAGCTTTGCACTTTGCAATAACACCTAGCTAGCGGGTCACAGGGTTTCTGTGCCTTTGGGCTAACACGTCTTCTGATACTAACAAATAAAGATTATCTTTTAGAATCTAACATTTCATAGGGGGGACTGATGTAGAATTATTAAAATCTTTACTGAACCTGTATTGAATTATTGTACTAACTCCATTTTAATCTCACACTATGACAGAATTCTCCATTTTGTTCACCTTACATGACAGAATTTCTTGACAGTATTCAGTATAATGAATAAGAGATTGTATTTTCTCTCTCTAAGGACATAACTAGCCCCGGAGTTAGCGGATCTCCGTTGACTTGCAACATAGTATAATCCAAGGCCAGGAGAACAGCGACTAAATGAAATGTTTTATTCATAAAAGAACCTTGGACCAGGCCACGAGACTGACATCACTAACTACGTAAAATGATGCCCAAGCCCCCCCTTTCCACCGAGTAAGCCTCGTGCTAAAGAGCAATGGCGACGACATCCCATGATGGGAGGGTGCCTCACTAGTCACTTAAATCTCTGAGCCAATTAATAATATTAATGGGTGGACACTGACATAGCCACTTAACATTTAACCCAATTAATGATGTTTATTTGTTATTATCTGATATTCAATGATGATGTCATTTTGCATATAAAAAGGCCTGCGTGCCCACTTTTTAACTAGATGCTAATAAATTTCCTGAAGTGTTTTTAACCTGAACTGCATGTGTCAGTGTGAACTTACTTCTGCGTATACGCAATTTATTCATCTCAGATTTGGACAGGAACAGATAGACTTTTAAACATTTTTGTTTATTTCTAAATTAATCTACTACAACTGTTCGTGAAACGAATAACATACCGAACGCACGACCACACACAGGGGGTCGTGTGGCACCCATTAACCGATTGCAACAATGTTGCAATCGGTAATTAAGAGTGTTTCTAGGTGTCCGGCGTTCGAATACCGACCACGCGGCGGTCGGCCACCTTGTTTCTTTTGTTAGCCCAGGGGTGTTTTGTCGTTGAGCGCCAGGAACTAAAAACGGCTACTCGACGGCGCGAACACCGCTGGACTTCCAGGCCTTCGGGAACCTCGGCCGTTCGGTAGTTTATTCCCCTTACGATAATCTGTATTTTAAAACCTATGTTAGAAATTATATGTATTTCGTACGGCGTTCGGTTAGTTAGACTGGGAGCTGAGCGGTATTCTCACGAACGATGCGCTCAGCCTCCAGCTATCTACTGAACATCCATTCGTGTAAAACTAGTGAATATTGGTAAAGTAATGTATTTTAATGTAAATTGTTCTGCTGCACGGAGGGATAATCCCATTAACAGTATATTCCAGTGGAAGTATCCCTCTCGTCCAGCAGTGCATGATGGGAAAAAGGTATGTGTTGGTCAGTTCCCCATGTCCCCTGAAATGTCAGTAGGGAAACCCCTTGCATGGGGAATCCCATAAATACCGTGACCTGAAAATAAACCTCAGTTGACCTCCAAGCTATGTGTCGTTTAGTTCTTGGGAATAAGGGATTGTAACTACGCTACCTGGATTTTACCTGCTTTGTGCCTACTTGATTCTGTCTACCAGCGGAGATACCGTGGATAATACCACTACTCCGCTAAACATATAAAACGTTCCCGCTCATCCCCCCCATTGTCGGCTATTTCCCGGTACTTTTGGAGAGTTGGGTCCTCTCTGGTTTCCCTCCCAAACTCTTCTAGGGTATCCCAAGCTAGAGATCTCTCTACTGTATTGGGTCTAAGGGTCGGTTCATTGCTTACCTGGGTCTCCCGTCCTGGTGTAGGGTCATCTGCAGCACGGGTCTGTGATCGAGTGGTCACTGGACAAGCAGCAGCGGTTGTGGGTAGATAGGCTGAAGCCAGAGGGCTAATATCGTTGCCCAACACTACTTCAGCAGGCAGGTTGTCCATGATGCCCACAGTGGTTTTCCCAGACCCGACCCCCCAGTCCAAGTGTACCCGAGCAGTAGGTAGGCGGAACACAGCCCCTCCTGCCACACGGACAGCAACGGTGCGATTAGACAAATGTTCCGGTTTGACTAAATGCCTTTGCATCAGGGTGATGGTAGCACCAGTGTCCCTCAAGCCTTGTGCCACCTGTCCATTTACTCGCACCTCCTGGCGATGATGCTGATGGTTGTCGGGGGGTGCAGCCTGGATCGGGTCAGCCTCATATAGGATGCCCAGGCATTCCTCTGGGCCCATCTCGGTCTCTAGGCAATGTGCAGCAGAGGTACGAGGTGAGGTGGTCTCAGCGTTGGGTGAGGTGCGCCTCCAATTGGTAGCGGAGGATCCCAAGGGGCAGAAACGGGCAATATGCCCAGTGTTGCTGCACCGATGACAAGTTGTTCTAGACAAATCTCGGGGGTAGTTGTTGGACCCCTGGGGGCACGGGAGCACGGAACTCCGGGCGAGGTATGGTAGCTGGGGTACGATGTTCTACCTTGTTAGATGGTCGAGGAGTACTTTGGCTCACTTTTCTCGTTTCGGCGTACTCATCTGCCAGCCGAGCAGCATCGTTTAAGGTTATGGGGCGGCGGTCTCGCACCCAGTCCTGTAAGTCGGCAGACAGGTCCTGGAAGAAATGTTCCATTAGAAACAACTGTAAGACTTCCTCCCCGGTGTCTGCGTGGCAACCCTTGACCCAGAGGGATGCCACTCATTGTAGCCAGTTAGCCCATTCCATGTGGGAGTCCACAGCCTTTTTCTTGGACTCCCAGAAGCGGCGACGTTAAGTCTCTGGAGTCACGGCATATCTAGTGAGGAGGGCATCCTTGACCCGCTGATACTGTAGTATATCCTCTGGGGTGAGAGGGTAAAAAGTCCCGAAAGGCTTGCCATTCGTGAGTATTTCGATGTTCGCTAGAATCCCCATGTGTTAAGTAGTCTTTTTAACGAATGGCTGGGCGTTTGTTAGTTTTGGCAGGGATTTCTGGCAGTCTGGAGGTTTCAGCAGTGTTCGCCTACTCGAGTGTCCGATTTTAGTTCCAGACACTCGACGGCAAAAAAACACCGCTGTTCGGGAGTTAAGATGGCCGCGGCCACGTGTAAAAAGTACCGAAATGGTGGCCACCCAGGGACTTCAATAAAGCGGTTGTGTGTTTGCAATTGTTCATACAGTGTTATGTGCCCCAATTGCACGAATGCTTTAAAAGTCCCGAAAAGCTTTGTAGAAATCCTCCCGAAAGTAACTAAAAAAGCTCCAGCTTCCTCACTGCCGGAGCCCCGGGCTGCCGCTGGGCGAGAATCCGCCTGAGAGGAGAGTGTTTCGTCGGTTGCTGTGGGGACTCTTGGTGCGTCCGATGCTTTGGGGCTAAGTCCCTGTTGGGTCTCTGCCCAGGTTCGATCCTCTCGTCTAAACTGGGCGTTCGCGCGCATGGTCAGAGAGTAAAGCGGCATACACCGCACCAGCAGCAGCGGGCACCACGTGAACGGACATTACTGATTCTTAAGCCTGTCGACACACCAATAATAGTGGAGGTGATAACGACCCCGGTGAGTGGCTTTGCCCTACAGCTCACTCTGAAGCATAGAAGCCCAAGACAGCGCCCCACCGTACCAGCGCCGGTCCTAGGCAGCAAAGCAAAACCAATGAGACACCCTCTCAGCCGCCCCACGATCCGAAATGAGATGGACACTCACTCACCAAGCGTGAGAACCACGGATTGGCAAACTACCGCCAAGCTGGACAGAACAATAAACCCAGAGGCCGTCAGGTGAGAGGAAAGGTACCTAAGGACATGTGGAGCTGGGGCCATGCCTAAATAAAACCTCACGGGACACTGTAACAACACGCAGATCAGGACCCTGATCCACAATCAGCGAGTGTCCAGCTCATATGTTTTATGGTTCTTTTTCGGTTGGTTTTGTTTTGTTTTTTCTATCTACACTGTTATGCTTGTCATCCCTCACGTCGTTCACTGACTTAGGAAACGTGCAGTTAACATTAATGTCATGCATATGATAAACCATGTCTCTCAAAGCTTACTATTGTCACCGTAACACTGCAAGCTTGTCTATTTGAAAATGCATAAGAAATCCTCTTAGTCAGCCAATCTCTGCGATATCCCTTAGAGTAACTAAGCACATCTCCTTATCCAAAACGGGATGATTGTCAAATCATACGAATGCTCATGTCATATAACGTCTTGGTCTAAGCTTGTATAATCTGATGATTCTTATAACTACTCAACACACTGTCAGTCAGCTAAGCATAATGTATCTACCATTTTTATTTCTATACCATGACTTACACTAGCCAGCCAGGTTTATTATAAAAAAAAAAAAGAAAAATGTGCAACTTACATGTGCCATGATTATGCCTATGATGTAAAGCGAATGTTTGCTGTTGTGGCACGTTAAACATGTTTGTCAATCACATGCACAGAAAAAATAAAGAATTAAAAAAAAACAAAAAAAACTCCAGCTTGTAAGCGGCTTGATGTCTTCTAAGTCAGGAAAATATATATACTTTTAATCCGAGGTCTCTGTTCCCGTATATGTCCCTGGCTAGTTCTTAAAGGGCCGGTAACAGGGAACATTTCCAGGCACATGGCAGGGTTTTGTTACAGAAGCTTCTCTTTATCTGGTTATAACAAACAACAATGAACTTTTGACCAACATTCAAGTAGTGGAGCACTTGGGAAACAGTGATCACAATATGGTGTCTTTTGAAACACAGTCAAGAAAGCAAAAGCTTTTTTTGGGGTATCCTAAAACATAATACTAAAGCCAATTTCAAAAAGTTAAGGTCAGCCTTAAATATATCAACTGGCACAAACTATTTAGTAAAAAAACCACTGAGGATAAATTGAATATCTTCAAACAAATATTAGAAAGGTACATTTATCAGCATAAACCACAGGGTAATAAATAAAAAAGAAACAAATTAAAACCAATTATGCTTAGTGGGAAAATAAACCAAGAGATTGAAAATAAGAAAAGATCATTTAAAGTGGACAAATCAGAGGCATCCTATAAATGATATAAAGAAGGCAATAAATAATGTATGCAAAATATCTCAGGACACTCAAGTAACTAAATTAGAAAATAAGAAATTCAAACCAGCCTAATAAATTACATATGTAACGGCACCCCCAGGCATAAAAGGGGTTAACAGCCGTTTAGGCGACATTCCCTTCCAGATATGCAGGCAACTAGTTCAGACACCAATCCACCGAACCGGAGAAGCATATGAATGCTCTCAAACATACGAATGCTGTAAACAGTCGAATAGGAAAAACCATACGAAAGGCTTACACTCCTAGCAGTCGAACTGGAACAGCATACAATAAATCCCCCAAAAACGAGACAAGGCTCTGTTTTGACGTTCAAGCAGGAACAGACAGAGGTGTGGGTTTATTGTTCTTATATACACATTCTTACACGTTAGTACCACCCACAGGGTTTTGGAAAACAACCAATAAACACGTACTATACACTCAGACACTCCCACACATAATCCTCCCCTCTGCCTGTGATACAATTACCTTACACAATGGGTAATGTGATTATCACAGGCAGAGAAATACAGTTTTTACACGTTATTCATAACTTTAAAAGTATGCATCACATTCACATAAAACTTACTTTTTCAGAATCAGCATACTCCAAATACAAACATATGTCAAAATCATCCAAACTGGTCCATTGGTTCAAAACATAGATCGAAGTCCTTTGTGACCAAATGAAGCATGGCTTTTCTGCCCAAAACCAGTTCCACAGAGTATTCTATCCTGGAGATAATTGAGAAGTAATCCAATTATCTCCAAGGACAGAGGCAAAACTCCATTAGCCACATGGTAGCAAAATACAGTAAAATACAATAAAATACACAAGGTTACATTTATTACATAAAATACAGACATGCAACATATCCCCAGATAGCTTAGGTCTGAGTGCACATTATTACTGAATGGCACTCAGACCACACACATACAGTTCAACTTACATGGAGCCAAAGTCTTTCATTACACGAATAGGCTCCATGGCATAGCTATCTGGGTTAAATGAGTTAATTCAGTAAATCCGAGAATCTACCGAACGCCAGGGCAGAAATACAGGAATAGACCTTTCTGCATAGGAAAATAAAGTATTTATTGACTGTGAGGTACAGGGTCAAAGTTTATGCAATGATGACATAGGGGGCGGACCGAACAGCGCATATGTTCGCCATCCGTGGCGAACCGTTCGGGACATCACTAATTGTGAAATATTTATTTCTAATTACAAATAAATGAAATTTTGTCTTGAAACATGGTGTAGCATGGGTAACAGTCTTAATATAACAACAGTAAACTACATTGCTACATTTCCCTGGCACTGTCTCTGATATCTCAGGGTCTGTTACCAGCTATCTAGCACTGTCTCTGACATCACGTGGTCTGTCACTAGATCCCTCACACTGTCTCTGACATCACAGGGTCTGTCACTAGATCTCTGACATCGCATAGTCTGTCACTAGATCCCTAGCACTGTCTCTGACATCAAGGAGTCTGTCACTAGATCCCTCACACTGTCTCTGACATCATGGGGTCTGTCACTAGTTCCCTAGCACTGTCTCTGACATCCCAGGGTCTGTCACTAGATCCCTAGCACTGTCTCTGACATCACGAGGTGTGCGCAGCCTATTGCATAAGGGTGTGCACCCTAAAGCACAAACACACACTGCATATATCTATATTATATATATACACACACACACACACATACACTGCTGTGTGAGTGTGAAGGTGCTGTGTGTAGGCTCTGTGTGTGTGGGCGCTGAGTGTGTGAAGGCGCTGTGTGTGTGTGGGTGCTGTGTATGTGAGGGTGCATGGGGCTAGAGTTCACGCGGCAACGCTCCGACCTCGCGAGAGAAACCCGGCGGAGCTGCTGGCTACAGCTCCCCGGGTTCTCTCCTGCCTCCCTCCATAGTGCTGGCCGCAGGGACACACCCTGTGCGCACGCCTATGGATAGAGGAGCGACGTCTCGGTTCCCAAGACCAACGGAAAGACCGGGGGGGAGGAGGGGGAGGGATGCAAAGCCTAAGAGCTGGCGGCGTGCAAGCGGAAGGGGATCAAATTGGAAGAAAAGGGAAAAAAAGGGGAAGGAAAGGAATGGGAAAAAAAAGGAAAAGGGAGAAAAAAGGGGGGAGAAGAGAGGAAAAGGAAAAAAAAAAGAGGAAAAAAAAAAGACAACACAGACAGGGAGGAGACAAGGGGCAAACTTGATGAAAAAAATGCCAATGGGATACAAAGGGGCACCGCACCACCATACGGAAAGCAATCAACCGGGAGAACCATGAGCCCGGGAACAAGCAGGGAGGACGCAGAGGAGGGAGGGTAAGAGACCCACAAGACACCCCACAACGCACTCTTCTCGCACTCCCTGCTAAAAATATCGCGCACACAAAGAAACCTGATATTTCAGGACATAAATGCTTCTCGGGAAACACCACAACAACCAAAGTCGGCCAGGTCCCATTGATACTACCCGGCCTTGAGGTTGCAGAAAGTGGGAAAGGCAGAAAATGTCACTGAGAAACGCTGTGATACATACTCAGGCCCATCAGCGGAGACCCCGGACTGACTAGGCATAACCGACCCATCACCCAACCCTGACCACTGAGAGTAAGCCCAAGACCTTGGACACTCAGCTGCGACAAGTCCCCCTAAGGAAGCGTATGCACCTCTACAGGCTCCACCCCCTAACACATTATGTAGCTACCTACACTGAACGCACACACCAGTCATGAGGACGGATACCCGGAACAGGGAGCAAACTGAGCACAAGACACAGATAAGGACCAAGTCCACTGGCAGCGCAGGCCACAACCCGATTACCATACTGAGAGGTGCAGTGATACCCAAAACACACATGCCAGAAAAAGGCAAGACCCCACCACACTAACCCATGACCGTGAGCGATCCCCTAGGGGACCACAACACTCAGCCATATCCGACTGTGATACCAGTATCACATGAGTAGACGACCCATAATCTTGGCAGCGGACCCTGGGAGCAGCCCCCCCCCCCCACAGGACATAGCGTGCCGCTGAACAGAGGAAAACCGAAGACCCGAGACCTGCGTCGCCCAACTACCTGGAACCTTGTCCATTTACCTACATCTACCACCTGTCCTGGACAAAACAGACAAAGCCAAGACAAATCTCCCATTTCCTCTCCCCCTCTTCTCTCTTCCCCTCACTTGCCCCCTATTTCTCCTCCAGGCTTGGCCCCTGCTTTTTGCACCAGAGATGCTGGCTCTGGGGGGGGAGGGGCCCAATACGCCCGAGAGGATCTGGACCTAGTTAACTACAAGGTCCGTGGCCTCAGCATCCTCGGAGACCTGAAAAGATATAGGACCTCCGTTGCATTTTTCCAAGAAATGCACTTCTAAGAGAACCGGGCACCTTCCCTGAGAGACTGCAACTTCCCTCTAGGATTTTTTTTTAGCAACAACCCGTCACGCCGCACCTTCGGAGTGGGGATACTATTCTCCAGACGGATTCCCTACGTAGAATTAGACAGTCTTCGATGCAAACACGGCAGATACATCTTTATAAACGGCACCCTACACGGTCAGAAATACACATTCGCAAACATTTACGCACCGAATACCAAACAATACCATTTCCTCTGCACAGCGCTGAACAGCCAGATGGGATTCAGAGAAGGTATTTTGATAATAGGCGGCGACCTAAATGTGACGCTCCATCAACTTGACTCCTCCTCCCACACGGCAACGCCACCGGAAAACCATCATGCTCAAACACTCCACCTCCTCACGGATTGTTGGAGAGCACTAAATCCAATGGCCCGCGACTACACTTTCTACTCTCCAACACATACCTCATACTCGAGACTCGACGACTTCCTGTTACCAAACAATTACCTTACCCTGCTAATGGAGTTTGAAATTTTTCCTATGACATGGTCAGATCATAATCCAGTCCGCCTACAACTCAAGTCACAATTGTTTCTTCACCGCCAGACATCGTGGCGCTTAAACGAATTGATCCTTTCTGACACCACTATAGCCGAGACTACCAGACAGACCAGTCAAGACTACTTCATCACCAAGAAGACAGGGGATACAACACCCTTGACCTGTTGGGAGGCACTCAAGGCAGTGCTCTGCGGACATTTCATCGCAATCTGCTCCACCCGCAAGAAAATAATTGCTTGGGCATTATAGACATCAGCAACGACAACACTGGAGAGCCAACACAAGAGAACAACGGACGCTGCCACATATAGAGACTTCCTTCCTAAACGCACCGAACTTACTACAAATCTAAACCGTACGATCCAGCGATCCTTCCAACATTTCCGACACCTGATCCACGAACACGGGAACAAATGCAGCAGGCTACTTGCCAACTTCTTAAACAACGGAAAACCCAGTTGTATATACCTAAAATTAAAGACCCGGCTCATTAAGTCCATCACCTCTCGGACCAAATCTCTGCGACATTCCTCCAATATTACCAATGCCTACACCACATACGCCAGGAACCCTGAGAAGAAGGGGAACCTCACAGACACACAGTATTACAACGATATCTCGACACTTCAGGACTACCCCGGATCGAGAACCACGAATGAGAAGCGTTAGATGCCCCCATCACTACGGAGGAACTGACATTCGCCATAAAGAAAGCAAAAACGGGCAAATCACCGGGACCAGACGGTCTCCCCCTCCTATACTACAAAACCTTCCTACTAGGGATGTGCATGGAGAAAATATTCGGTTTGGCATTCCGGAATTCGGTTGGGGGCCCTAAATTACTTCAAGGGGGCTGGGGGGACCTATTGTCCTCCCCCCCTCCCACCCCTGAGTGGCAGGTGGGGGCCCTAAAGAAGAATAAGGGGGGACCTATTGTCCTCCCCCCTGACCCCCACCCTGAGCAGCGGGCAGGGGGCCCTAAAGTAAAATAAGGGGAGGGGGGACCTATTGTCCTTTCCCTGGCCCCTACACCTGAGCCCTAAATTACTTCAAGGGGGGGACCTATTGTCCTCCCCCCCAGCCCCGACCCCTGAGCGGCGGGTGGGAGCCCTAAAATACTTCAAGGAGGAGGGGACCTATTGTCCTCCCCCCCGGCCTCCACCCCTGAGCGGCAGGTAAGGGCCGTAAATTAAAATAGGGGGGGACCTATTGTCCTTGCCCTGGCCCCCACCCCTGAGTGGTGGGTGGGGGCCTAAAGAAGAATAAGGGGGGGGACCTATTGTCCTCCCCACCGGCCCCCACCCCTGAGCAGCAGCTGGGGGCCCTAAAGTAAAATAAGGGGGGGGACCTATTGTCCTCCCCCCGGCCCTCACCCCTGAGCGGCGGGAGGGGGCCCTAAAATAAAATTTTACCCCCCAGGTGACTAGGGGACCCCAATCCCCTAGTCACCCCCTCCAAACATTTTTTTTTTTTATAAACCCCTACCAACCCCCCTCCCCATAAAAATAGTGGGGGGGGAACAATGACTAAGTACCTGTATAAAAAAAAAACAAATAAAACTTACCATTTGATGTTTTCTTTTTTCTAAAATCTTCTTTTTTAAACCCCATAAAAGGCAAGAAAAAAACCCCCATAAAATCCGCCACACTTGAAAAAAAAAAAACCAAAAAACCAAAGAGCAAAGAAAATCCGACAAAAAAAACAAAACCCTGACGCTGAAAAAAATAATCCATCTTCACCCATGGAGGGCACCGCGCAGACTGAGCTGCGCAGGGCGAAGGAAGGCTTATAAAGTCTTTCCCTGCAATTAGGCTCAGAGCACTCTGGTTGGTTGGTTTAAGCCATCCAATCAGAGTGATCTGACAGGTAAATATAGAAACTGGCAGGTAAGTCTTTTTTTTACCTGTCACAGCACTCTGATTGGTTAGCTTGAAATCAAACCAGAGTGCTCTGTGTCATTTCACACAGCGTGGGAAAGTTCTTTGGAATTTTCCCATGCTGTGTAATTTGACTCATAACACTCTGAGTGTTGTTATGAGTCAAATTACACAGCGTGTACACCACTCCGACAAGAACAGCCCCACTACAACTAATGGAGACGAACACACCATAGCAACCCATAAACTGCAACATAGAAAGATCAGTAATGAAATAGATTGTGAAACTGGCAGCCCTTTCCATGCCACCAACTTGACCAGCAAGCAACACTGGTATCCAGGAATACTCGTGCACGACGGAGGCACAAGGAGGCCTCCAGCCCACTTTACAGTCCTCAATGTTGATTATTTACTCACATAACGTGAGGGGTATGAACACCCCTCATAAACGCAGGATATTACTCAGAGACGCGAAACAGAGAGCAGACATTAGGTTGTTAGAGTAGGACCTGCCAAAGATGGGGTACATTGATGTTGTGGCAGGCTTACACAATGTATGATCATATAATGTAACTAAACCCCCATTAATTTTGCCAAGATTAGGTGTTTTTAAAAATTTTTTATAAAATCTGTTGTGAATAAATCACAAAGTTATTTCTGCTATTTTTTTTCATTCGGTAGCTGTAAATACCGAACAGAGACCACCCCCCTTGCTCATTAACTTCAAAGCAAACCCTCGTTTAAGCCCTCTCCCTGTGTGGCTGCCATTCATATGGTCGAATGCCACGTGGCTGAGAAAATGGCGCCATCTTGTTTGAGCAAACAAAGGCAGCGGGACTTGGTAGTCGAGTGTCTGGAACTAAAATCGGACACTCGACTTCCCGAACACCAGTCCCAACGTACGAAAGCTTACTTCTTCGTTTCCCGAACCGTTAGGAGAGCAGGGTTCGGTACTTTTGTTCAAACGAATGAGGGGAACAATCACTGCTAGGAGCCAGGGGGAACCTTTGTGGATTTATTTGCTTTTTTGGGACTTTCGAACTAGACCGGCAAAACAACCAAAACTTGTGGAACTGTTTTGGGCAGGAGCCTCGCTGGATCTTGTGTATTGTATAAATTGGCTGCCAGCAGCACCCCATTTATGCATGTTCAGGTGAGTGCAGCCCCCTGGTTTCATATATTTATATATATATATATATATATATATATATATATATATATATATATATATATATATACACAGTTGCAAGAAAAAGTATGTGAACCCTTTGGAATGATATGGCCTTCTGCACAAATTGGTCATAAAATGTGATATGATCATCATCTAAGTCACAACAATAGACAATCACAGTCTGCTTAAACTAATAACACACAAATAATGAAATTTTGCCATGTTTTTATTGAACACACCATGTAAACATTCACAGTGCAGGTGGAAAAAGTATGTGAACCCCTAGACTAATGACATCTCCAAGAGCCAATTGGAGTGAGATGTCAGCCAACTGGAGTCCAATCAATGAGATGAGATTGGAGGTGTTAGTTACAGCTGCCCTGCCCTATAAAAAACACACACCAGTTCTGGTTTTTGTGAATGATGCCTCGCACAAAAGAGCTCTCAGAAGACCTACGAGTAAGAATTGTTGACTTGCATAAAGCTGGAAAGGGTTATAAAAGTATCTCCAAAAGCCTTGCTGTTCATCAGTCCATGGTAAGACAAATTGTCTATAAATGGAGAAAGTTCAGCACCTCTGCTACTCTCCATAGGAGTGGCCGTCCTAAAGATGACTGCAAGAGCACAGCGCACACTGCTCAATGAGGTGAAGAAGAATCCTAGAGTGTCAGTTAAAGACTTAGAAAAGTCACTGGCAAATGCTAACATCCCTGTTAGCGAATCTACAATACGTAAAACACTAAACAAGAATGGATTTCATGGGAGGATACCACAGCGGAAGCCACTGCTGTACAAACAAAACATTGCTGTACGTTTACAGTTTGCACAAGAGCACCTGGATGTTCCACAGCAGTACTGGCAAAATATTCTGTGGACAGATGAAACCAAAGTTGAGTTGTTTGGAAGAAACACACAACACTATGTGTGGCGAAAAAAAGGCACAGCACACCAACATCAAAACCTCATCCCAACTGTGAAGTATGGTGGTGGGGGCATCATGGTTTGGGGCTGCTTTGCTGCGTCAGGGCCTGGACGGATTGCTATCATCGAAGGAAAAATGAATTCCAAAGTTTATCAAGACATTTTGCAGGAGAGCTGTCTACCAGCTGAAGCTCAACAGAAGATGGGTGTTGCAACAGGACAGTGACCCAAAGCATAGAAGTAAATCAACAACAGAATGGCTTAAACAGAAGAAAATACGCCTTCTGAAGTGGCCCAGTCAGAGTCCTGACCTCAACCCGATTGAGATGCTATGGCATGACCTCAAGAAAGCGATTCACACCAGACATCCCAAGAATATTGCTGAACTGAAACAGTTCTGTAAAGAGGAATGGTCAAGAATTACTCCTGACCGTTGTGCACGTCTGATCTGCAACTACAGGAAACGTTTGGTTGAAGTTATTGCTGCCAAAGGAGGTTCAACCAGTTATTAAATCCAAGGGTTCACATACTTTGTCCACCTGCACTGTGAATGTTTACATGGTGTGTTCAATAAAAACATGGCAACATTTCATTCTTTGTGTGTTATTAGTTTAAGCAGACTGTGATTATCGATTGTTGTGACTTAGATGATGATCAGATCACATTTTATGACCAATTTGTGCAAAAAACCATATCATTCCAAAGGGTTCACATACTTTTTCTTGCAACTGTATATATATATATATATATATATATATA